ATAATGCCTGGTTCTTTTTGCTTCCTGATTTGCTTTCGATGCAATATTTTTTACTTAATCTAATCATGATACATGTTTTCTTATAGTGGAGTGTCTATTGATCAAACATATTATAGCTCAGCAATTTGTAATCTTAAGTGATTTATAGAACTTGATCTATATTGTAATCAAAACTGCAGATCATTTTTAGTTCACTATAAAAACGCAGATCGCTTTTAGTTCCCTAAAAAAACGTTGATCGCTTTTAGTTCCCTAAAAAAACGCAGATCGCTTTAACTGCTCAAGCTTTCCTCCCAACGAAAAGTTAACATTTTTTGAAAAACAATACCACTTTAATCACCTTAACGTAACTTCTTAATTATATATAAAAACTTGTAAACCTTTTTTTTAATAAATTTGAAAAAACATAAAGAAAACACAAAATGTCTAGACTGAAAAGCTCAATGGTGTTTGTAAAAAAAACTGTTTGGGCATGGGTGTGGGAGTAGGGTAGCAGACAACCCAGGGGTAGTGAACCTATAATACACATGCCTAAATTAATGTAAATGTAACTTACAGACTATTAGATAAGTTCCATTGTTTTTAAAACGTATTTAAGAGGAGGGGCGGTAAAGATTAAAAAATAAACAATCAAAGCCGCAGATCAATTTAGCTGCTTGAACCTTTCTTTCAGTTTAAAAGTTATCACACTTCCGCCGAAAACTTAACATATTTTGAAAATGCGGGCGCCGCCTACCCAAACAAAAAAATGCCATCTACAAACGTTGGGCGCCGCCTACCCAAACACAAAAGCGGTCTCTATGGCTAATAGAGATAGAAATTGAAATATAGTATGTTCTACTAACTTTGCATATAATCAAATTCCCATGCTGTGTATTCAAAATAATTGCAAGAAAAGGCATTAAAATTCCAAGTAAAATGACATACCTTTCAGAAGGAACAATGCTTGCACAAGTTTGCTTGCAATCTGGTTAGCCCTAGAGGGAACAAAGACAAAGAGCATTAGTCCAAAAAAGTTCTGACATGATGTTATAGTTAAAAAGTAACACATTAATATATTATTTCTTTATCACAAATAATGGAAAAATAGACACCATCCTCCTAAAAGTAATATACTCATAAAAATGTTAATTAGTATGTAATATAGTATCATTCAATCATACATATAGACTAAGTAGTAATGTGCTTTTCTGGTAGGTCATGGAATGCATGGATGTAATTACTCTATCCATAGGGCACTCCCCTTAATTTTGTATCTCTTTTCCTATTTTGTACAATGTACATATAACGTAACCGCTAGTAGTTGGAAAGTAATATACGCCCATCCCATTCAGGTATGTCAACTTCTGATATTTAAATATTTTTCATCACCTTTTCTATACTTATTATACGATCAGATCATGTTGAACTAATGCTCTCATTAACTCGATTCTTTTCTAACACACTTTTTGACATCTTTAATTTTCAAAATTAGTTAACACTTTTTCTCTGCTTAGCAATAGATTAGTCCCCTGCTTCTTAGTCTACACAAGCTTAATGCTTGTGTCTTGAATGTGTCTATATATAATTTTATGTATGTAGTACATACTGAAAGTGGGAATAACCAAGCAACAAAGCAAAAAGAATAGCACTTTTAAATTAATGATAGCCATTTTGCTACTTTTCACAAATAAAGATCTCAGGAATAAGGCAAAAAATCTCAGGAATCAGGCAAAAAAGCAACGAGCTGTGAACAAAATTCTGATGCACTTTCCTGTGGGGGTGGTCGCTAGAGATTAGTCCCATGCTTCTTAGTCTGCACAAGCTTAATGCTTGTGTCTTGAATGTGTCTATATTTATAATTTTATGTACTACATACTGAAAGTGGTAATAACCAAGCAACAAAGAAAAATAAAAAATAGCACTTTTAAATTAATGATAGTCATTTTGCTACTTTTCACTAATAAAGATCTCAGGAATCAGGCATAAAATGTCACGAATCAGGCAAAAAAGAAGTGAGATGTGAACATAATTCTAATGCACTTTCCTGTGGGGGTGGTCGCGATTTTTTCACTGTCTAGTTAAGTCATAAATTAGCATTCCTGCCTAAACATTGTAATCTGAACTTGCCTTAGCTAGATCGAGTTCCACAAAACCAATTAAGCTACACAGGACATTCATCAAATACCCTCCCGAAATCAATCATGTGATCACTCACTCCATAGACATTAATCAAAGTATTATGAACATAAACATCACTCCAGTGATTGAGTGCATAACCACTCACTGATACTCAGTGGCGGATGTATTCAATGCAAGGGTGTTCATGTGAACGCCCAAAAATAAAAAAACATTGGGAATATACTCCGTATATGTTTGAATTTGATTAATAATATATTTATTAGTATTTTAAAAAGAAGATGTGTAATTCTGAACATCCAAAATATAATTACTAGGTCCGCCACGGCTGATACTCAACAAACTTAAACTCTAGATGACCAAGGCATTATCACTTCTCGTGACTTTTGTTCTATTCAGGATTAAAACTTATACTGTAATAAGTCTTATGTTTCTGTAGGTTTAACTGTCCCAAGTCAGATATGTAATCATATCAAGTTGAAAGATAAGAAAAGAAGATGGGTTTAGTTAGCAAAAAGAAACATAGGATAGAAAGAGATCAAAAAATGTTCTTTAACAGTCCTAAAAGATCTACCTGTGTAGCAAGTCGCTCTTGCATTTCAAGCAAGTTGATAGATTGGTTCATAATATAACTTTCAATTATATAACTCCTTTGTTATATAAATTGGTTCATCACGATATTGGACTTAGTAAATCCCAGTATACCCTGATCAAAATTATGTTGATAACCGGATCAGATATTGGGTTGGTGGAATTTCAGTCTATCATACTATGTCTTATGTCGATGTACATATTGGACAGAAAACACACAATTTTAGGTTTTAACAACTTCAGAGATACATCCTCTTGTGCAGCCATCAACTTGCAATTAAAGGAGTAGAAACAAAGGCAGAAACATAAGGGCCTAAAATTTTACTATGGTGAATACGATGCATTTATATTGTGTCTTCTACTCAACAAACAAAGTATAAGGACTTGAAAGTACGAGCAGAAAGAAAGGCAGAACAATTTCTGACATGGATAGAAGACATACCGGAAAAGTGTGTGCAGGTAGGGAAAATCGTCTGCCAATTGAATAAGATGCATTTACAGGACCATGGGAGAGAAGGATCGAAGGTGACCGCACCAATTGGAATTCCATAACGCGCACTGGAGAGGAGAAGGATCGATTTGCAGGTACAAGCGGAAGCAAATAGTTCCATAAATGCGAGATTAATGTATACTTAGCTGCGAGGAAGACGAAGGGATGTGCGAGCCTGTGGTAATCGGTGCGACCGAAGAGCGCCTCTACGAGTGAAGATGGAGCAAGAGAAGGGCCCGGCTTGTGAGGCTAAAGATGGGCCCGTGGGAATTACTAACGGAAGGGTGACGGAGATATCGGCATCACACTGTACGGGAGATATAAGACACGCAATTTTAAAAGTTTACCAACATTTAAGCATAATGTACATGTCAACACAGCTCACAGTACCACCAACAAAATATCTATACCCAAAACAGACTAACCCCCATTCACCCTTATTAGATTGTAGAGATAGAGAAATCTAACATATTTATTCCTCCAAAGAAATATTTATTGTATTCAACCCAGTTAATATAGTACTTGCCGAAACAACAATTTTATAGATACCCTAGATTCTTTGTGTTAACCTAGTTCTTATTTTTGGTAACCTTTATTTTTAATTTATCAGTCTTATTATTCAACATTTTATAGCAAATATGTAATTTTTGATTTCACGCGTTGAATTGATAAATAATCAAAATAAGTAAGGTTGATTCACTTTTTTTAGCTGAATTGACTAAAATTACTGTAGAGCTACATTTTAATTATTTTTCCATTTTTTTTAATTTTATTATGAAAATATACTACATATTTTAAATATGATTTTTTTATACTTTAGCGGGGACTCAACCAAAATTTCATAAAATTCATTAAATCTAACCAATTTCCATCTTATCAATCCTTAAGATTACTTAGTTTCATTCTATTCAAAGAGAACCCTAAGGGCATTCACAGTGGGAGGTCAAATGGGGATTGAAAAACAAATTGATGCCACTTGATCCCCACTATGGGAGATCAATGAAGTGCTCGATCAAATGGGGAGGTTAAAAATGAGTCGTGAGCAATCTTTGGTGACTAACCAACCACAAAAGGCCATGTGACTTTGTTTTAGTATCATGGAACGGATGACTTCTCATCCCCATCAAAATAGCCACCAACCTTATTAAATATCCTCCACCTCCCTAATTTCATTTATTATTCATTAAATTTAATTTTTTGTAAAAAGCAAATTGTACCAAAAAATTAGATTTTTTATCCTCTATAAAAAGATATCAATGAAGGATATGTTTAGTCAATTCAAAATTTATCACTCTTTTACCTCTTGCAACTTATTTTATCTGTTTTAGAATATTTTTTTCTTCTGAAAATGGATCGAACTCGTTCTCTACCTAGATACAATGCCAACAATAAATAATTATAGTGAGTCAAATGTGTATTTTACATTCCATTTTCAAATCATATAAATTAATAATGGTGGAATATACCAAAATGTGGAGAGAGAATGTACAAATTTTAAGTGACCTAGGTCACCATAGTGGGGTGAAAATATGATAGATTAAAGATAAGTTTTTATAGGAGAGTGATGGGGAAGAGAGAGAAGGGATCAAAACACACCACCAGATGTTCTAAATATGATTTTAAAAAGTTGCCGAGTCTCGAGTTTGTGCAATAGTTTTGGACTTTCGTTTCGTCCTATTTTATGTTTTTGCACGTACAACACTATAATAATAAAAAAAGACAAAAGAGTAATACTCCGTACACTCAATTTTTGATATAAACAAATAAAATATGGTCATCCAAAAAAAAATATGGATTACTATGGATCTAGTAACTACCCATTCGGGTCATGTGGGGCCACCCGTATTCAGGCGTAGAAAGGCGTTGGTTCTTTCTAGCCACGCAAGTGGAGACGACTAATCCACTGCACCTTCTTGTTACTCCCATTTTCCTTTCTTTACTCTTTTCTCAGTTTCTCCATTTTTCCTTCTGCAACATATCTTTAACCTTTGCAGAATTAGATTAAGCGCCATATCTCCGAGAATCCGTAACAATATACTCCGTAATTACAAAATTAAAACAAGAAGCATCTTTTCTGCTACTGTATTATTCAATTGCTTCATCTCTTCCGATGGCGTCGGGCGGTCACCAGAATGTGAACGCAAAACTCGTGAGTCTATCATTGCATACACTTGCTAGATGTTTCCTTGTGGAAGACGTCTTAGTTTACTTTCGATTTCTCCTTAACATCCTGATTTTGATCATCAGGTATTGCTGGGGGACATGGGAGCTGGTAAATCAAGCCTTGTGTTACGGTTCGTCAAGGGTCAATTTCTCGAATTTCAGGTGATTTTCCATTCGGATTCTCTGTTTTTTATTCATTTCGCCTTATAGACAATTGATGATTCGTGCTGGGAGATCGCCTTGATGGTAACGATGACTGTTTGCAGGAATCTACGATCGGGGCGGCTTTCTTCTCGTCTACAGTGTCGGCGGACAACACCACAGTGAAGTTCGAGATCTGGGACACGGCTGGCCAGGAGAGATACCACAGCCTGGCCCCGATGTACTACAGGGGCGCTGCTGCTGCAATTATTGTCTATGACATTAGTAGCTTGGTACGGCTCCATTTCTCCAGCATAGCATATGATTGTGCGTGTATTGCTTCCAAGTCCCCATGTTTTCACTTCTGACCTTGCATGACAAGCATTGCAAGCTTTAGCAGCTCTGAGTGGAGCTGTTTCCATTACCTTACAGCTAAACTTAGCTGTGTAATCAGTTTCGAGTGAATTGGGGGGGGGGGGGGGGGCTGCACTTATGTGCCAGAGCAGAGAACTATATTTAAAAAAAAATTAACATTTCATGGGTACCAAGAATTGATGTATGAGTATGAGAGGATGGATGATGACAGGTTTGTTGGGGTTTAAGGATGTTTTTAATTGGACTTAAATTTTCTGGTCTGGTCTGAACTGGTGTGAACTAGTCTAGTTTGGTAGATGTATGGTCTCTGTCTATTTTATAACTACCTAAGGATGTTTTTACTTGGACGGTAATCCGTCCCAGACCAGTTCAGACCAGACCAGACTTGAATAGTTATAAAAATACAAGTGACCGGACATTACCTGACCAGATCAGACCAGACCAACAAATTACAGTCCAAGTAAAAACATCCTAATAGAGAATTAATGATGCAATGCTGCTGATTCTGCTGTATAGATTCTGCAAAAGTTTGTTGTGGATACTGATGTATCCAGTCTCGCAACAGAGATTTGGATATTGTTATGGAACTCCACTGGTCATGGCTTATTATTACATTATATTAGAGACTGGATGAGTGGATCTCAAAATTGAAGTTTGGTTATGTTATTGTTGTGCGAGTGCTAGGAAAACATAGTAAGTTAGTAACTTCATATGTATTTTAAATTATTAATGAGGTAGTCTGTTTCTTTTTATTAGTATGGAAAATAGACTGAATCTTCTTGCTTCTTTCTTCATGCTTTTCTTGGTTGTAGCAATTTCTTTTACTCTGTTCGAATCACATTGTGATTTTTGGTGTGGTATACTAACATATGCTTCTTGATGAATTTACCTCCATAATATGTTATCATTCATTTACTTGGTGTTGCCAATTCAAAATATTTACAATTGTTGCTAAATTATAGGAATCTTTTGACCGTGCAAAGAAGTGGGTCAAGGAATTGCAGAAGCAAGGTTCTCAGACGCATGCTTACTGGTTCATCATGATATATTGAATCAATTTCTTTTTATGGATGTTTAGCGTATTGTCTTCTAATCTTCTATACTATTTGGTTGATAGTTGAACTGTTGAAGTAGAATATAATTTAAAAGAAAATATTGTACAGGAAAATTTGTTGTATTGCTATTTGAATATTTCTCTTTTTATTTATTACCCGACATTATTTTAAGTTTTAACTGTTAGCTTTGAAGAAAAATTCAACACGTGCTTATATACATATTGGAAGCTAGAGAAAGAAGTAATATTCCTTCTGAATTCTTGCAGGTAATCCAAACATGGTTATGGCACTTGCTGGTAACAAAGCTGATATGGAAGATAAGAGGAAAGTGACTGCAGAAGTAAGAACATCAGATCTTATTTGTATTGTATTTTTTGGACTATTAAGTTCCATTTGTTATATAATGTATTTTCATGTTAACTAATATTGAGATGTTTTGCAGGATGGAAAAGTATATGCAGAGGAAAATGGTCTTTTCTTTATGGAAACCTCTGCAAAAACTGCTCAGAATGTTAATGAAGTTTTCATTGAAATAGGTATAAAATATTTTCTATTTGCATTATTTTCGAATCTACAAGTTTATTTGCATGGAAATATGAAACAAATTCTTACTGCTTGTTCCTTGATTCTTTTAATGAATGAAGACGAATTTCATGTGATGTGATAGCTGTTTTTTCTCTTTACTTTTTTTGGTGATGCACTCGACACTGGTAGGAGTTGTTAGGCAAACAATTAATATTGGAAGCCTAATTTCATGTAGCAAAATCATAGTAAACACAGTGTCGCCTCAGCGCCTAGTTAGCATCCTGGTGATGGAGGAGCTGTGCCAGGCTGTGTCGACTCGCCTAAAGTCTCTGAGTCAACCTGGGGCATAGGTTAGGGGCTGTTCAGTGTCCACGGTGACGCAAGACTGTTTTTTCTGTCCGGCATACCCGACTTCTAAATCCCTACACCTTATAAGCCTTTGATCTGCCGCAGGTTGCTGAGAAGGCCCTTTCATTTTCACTGTTCCCAAAGGGTCTTCTTAACATTGTTCTTGACTTGCCTTTTATGCACCCCCGTCGGCCGTCCTTTCCATTTTCACATTCATACTTTCCTCTTCCATCCATCCCAAAATAAACTTCACTTTCCCTTTATGTCAAAGATTCTGTGATTCACATGCATTTTCTCTCCTCTTGACGACTTTCAACCACATAATTCCATTTTCTTAATCTAAGTAGGTGTTAATAACAGGACGCAGGTAGTATTAGATAGTTGCATTCTAGCTGGAGTCAATTGTACTTGCATACCTCTGACACGTAAGGAAACAGAGTGGCATGAGGTGGTCATAAGCACAATTTTTGTACATACAAAAATAATGTATCTATTCATTTTATCAGGAGTTGCTTCCTTTAGCACGTTGTAGAAGACTAGAAAAGGTTGGACTAATGTATCAATATTTTCAAATTAAATTGATGCACATTGTTTGCTCAGTATGATAATACTATTGATATGTAAATATATCAAATTGAGCATTTGAGTTTATCAATTTTGAGAGCAATGAATTCTCTAATGGTAAAGGTTCTAGGCTATTGTCTTCTTGGACTTTTTGTTTTCCTCTATGTAGCTTGTTTATGTGTTGCTATTGTATCCACTTCTTGAACTGTAACCTGTTGTGTTTGTACAGCTAAACGGTTGCCTAGAGCTCAAACTTCTTTAAATCCATCTGGGATGGTTCTTGTAGACAGACCAGCTGAGGGGACTCGTGCAACATCCTGCTGTGCTTAATTTCCTTCTTCTCCCCGACTCCTCCATCCATTCTAAAAAGGTTCATGTGTATGTGGTTGCACATTGCAGTATTGGATGAATGTTTTCTAGTAGGTAGAATTGGGTCATAGATAATCATAGGTTCTTCTCAGCTGTGTAATAACTTTATGTTGGGTTATTGTTGTTATTGTTTTGAACTTATATACGCATGTATACTGATCTCATTAAGTTGGGTTACAAGATCTGCCTCTCCCAGTCTTCTTTTCATCCTCATTTTCTGAGGCTGTGTGCTTTGAAACTTTCTTATTTCGCTTCTTGAGCATATTCTTCCAGCCCATTCCCTACAAGGAAGATGAAGACATGCAAGCTAAAGTGTTGAGTGGTGATCAACATAGCCATAAATCATCATAATCAGTGGCGGAACTAGAAAAAAAATTAAGCAGGGGCACAATAACATAATGTAAATCATCACATTAATAATAAAATTGTCTTAACAAATTACACTAATAAAACATGCCAAATTCAATCAAAAGGGTTAACGTAATGGTGCTAAATCCAACCTATGGGTCCTCATGTTTTGAAAATGTTGGATAATAACCTCATTATCGATGCGTCTAAACACATCTCTTTCTACGTAGCAGACTACACAATCAGTAAGATAATCATCTCCCATTTTATTACGTAAAGCAGTTTTGACAATCTTCATTGCTGAGAAGGCTCTTTCCATTGTAGCTGTGGCAACAGGCAAAACTAGTGCCAAAACAATCACAATTGTGAATTTGGAAATATAAATTATGAAATACCAAAATATTAATTTAATTAAAAGGGGAAAAAAATAGGAAAAACGAAAACCAACCGGGCAAGTCGTAGGCGGACGACGGACGGTGGAAGGCGAACGGACGTCGACGAGCTGGCGGTCCGACATGGCAAGTTCTCGGTGCTGCTGTGCTAGGTTGCTGCCTGCTAGTTCGCGGTGCTGCTTGCGCAGGGAAAGGGGCGGAACCGCAGAAGTCGAAGAAACGAAGACTTGCCTACTGCCTAGTTGCCTTTGCTGTGTTTTGAATTATCTGGAATTCTACTTTGGGCTGTAGATTGCAGATTACTTTGGGCTGAATTATCTACATTGGGCCTTCCTTAGGCAATGGCCCTATCGGCCTTTAAGTTATTTTTTTCCCAGTCAGCAAAACGACGCCGTCTCATTACGGAAATAGAATAGACCTGCGTTCCTTTTCCATCGTCTTCCCTTTCCTCCAGCCGGCCGACTCCAACAGCTCGTCGGAATAACTCAGAAGCCTCCGGCGGCCCCTCCTACCCCGGAATACCCCTACCTATACCCTAGCTCGACAGCCGAAGCAGGGGCACCGGCCCCCCTTGCCCCCGGCAGTTCCGCCCCTGATCATAATGCATTTGGTTTCAAAAACTTATACTCGTTATATATAATCACAATAGTTTTTGATAAAAAAAAAGAGATTGATTTGTGTATAAAATCATAAATTTTGAAATTTTTTGTTGAGACTGTAATTGGTTTAATCAGTTATAATTTTGAATTATGGGAAAATGATATACGGAGTATAAAGTATATACATACTGCTGGGTTTATATATCCTTGTAACAAGACCTTAAAAGTAAAAGAAACCTAATGCTGATGTGGGTATATTTTATTTTTTTAAAGCAACTACACTGAAGAAGAATATGATAGCTTAGAGCGTCAATTAGACATAATAAGAAGTTAACGCCAAGGGTCCACGACACTATCTCATTGAGTAATACGGAGTAGTTTGTACAGGCCCGAAAAATTCCCTGCCATAATTTTGTCCGGCAGCACAGGTAAGATTAAATCCATCATCTTCCTCTAGGAAATCTCATATGTTTCAAAAAATAAAAAGAAAGAGATTATTTTTATGATTGATAATGAAGAAGACAATGAATAAGAATCAGCGAGAAAATAGAGAGAGAGGGACTATGACTCTATGACTCCTATGAGCGTGATTAACCCACAGAGGAATAGAGACACTCTGGAGCATTCTGAACTCTACATACTGTGCAATATTTCAAATATATGTTTTATTTCAAATATATGCAATTTTAGATTCGAATGATCATATATTTGATTCAGGTAAACTTGTGTCAACAATTATGCTAAGTGAAGAAAAAAGAATCTGAAAATATCATGATTGAGTAGGGCAGTGTGCCATAAGCAGGAATTGATTTTAAGAGTGCTACAGTGGAAATTTAACAAAGTTATATTGCTTCTTTGGGATTTTCTACTAGGAAAAGAACTTCAAGCAACCGTGATAAATGTGCCACAACATGTTCGTAAGTTCCACAACCTACAATTCAAACAGTCTGTAATCATATTTTCCCCTTGCTTTATGATTTTTCAATATGAATGTTGTGTTCTTTTCTATTGGTAGCTCTATTATTTTTGCTGGTTTTTCCATATTTGTTTAAATCTATTTATATTGAATGTTTGAGCATTTCCCATTATAGTTTGAATTTTAGTTTGACCAAGGCACTTAAGATTAAAAAAGGCAAAGTCGGTATGATTATGAATTTATTCACATATTATGTGTTGAAACAGTGTGGGCATATATACTACGTAGTACTTATTTCACAGTTATAAACGTGATTACGGGACAAAGAATGCAAGGATCATCTACTCCCAAGATGGATGGTAGTGATTAGGATCTATATCGATCTCGGCTACTTTTGCATATTAATACTTCGGTTAGTCTTGTTTCTACTAGATCTGCTCATAACTTAGACTTGTTATTATCATTTCCTGAAATGACCAAGGTCTTAGCCGTAGCTCTTAGGAGATGCTTTTGAACTTTTCCTAGGGCTGTTTTAGGCAACTCCGTTACAAACTGGACCTTCTTTGGAACCATGTATCCGGGCAGATTTTCCCGACAGTGTGCGATGATGTTAGCTTCTGTCCAATTTTCGGTGGATTTCAGGACTACGAAGGCGCAAGGGCTCTCGCCCCACCTGGGGTGCGGCATTGCGACGACGGAGACCTCGGAAACGCCGGCGTGATTCAAGATCACGCTTTCCACTTCGACGCTGCTTATGTTTTCTCCGCCGGAGATGATGATGTCTTTCGAGCGGTCCTTGATTTCGAGGTAGCCGTCGGGGTGGATGACGCCGACGTCGCCGGTGACGAACCATCCGTTTCTGAAGGCGTCGGCGTTGGCCGCGTCGTTCTTGAAGTAGCCCTTCATGATGCTGCTGCCACGGAGGACGATCTCTCCCATGGTCTGGCCGTCGCGTGGAACTCGCCGCATTGTCTTGAGGTCCCAGACCACATCGGCATCGGCAAGTGCCAGTATGCTGATCCCCTGTCTAGCCTTCAAGCGGGCCTGCTCCTCCGCCGGCAACTGTTTCCATTTCCCCTGCCATTCGCAAACCATCGCCGGTCCGGTGGCCTCGGTGAGGCCATAAGCATGGGCGACGTTAAACCCCAGCCCCTCGATTTTCTTGAGGAGAGGTGGCGGCGGTGGCGCCCCTCCGGCGAGAATCTCGACCGGAGCAGGCAATTCCCGGCGCTCGTACGGCTTGGCTTCCAAGAGAATCGAGAAAACGATCGGCGCACAACACATGTGCGTAACTCCGTGTGACACAATGTTGTCGTATATGTCTCTTGCGGTGGTGTTGCGCATGCAGACATTGGTTCCGCCACGGGCGGCGACCCCCCAGGTGAAGGTCCAGCCGTTGCAGTGGAACATCGGGAGTGACCATAGATAAACGGGCTGAATCCCCATTTCCCATCCCAAAATCAAGCTCAACGTGCTCAGAAAGGCTCCCCGGTGACTATACACAACTCCTTTCGGCTGAGATGTTGTCCCCGACGTGTAGCTCAAGGTGATCGCGTCCCACTCGTCGTCGATGGTCACATCGCTCTCATTCTCCTTCGTGCCATCCTGATAAATCTGTGATCGGAGTATCAACTCCTCGTACTCAAGGTCGCCTAGCCGGATTCCGGTGGGGGCGGCGACGTCGTCGATGTCAACCACTAAGGGCACCGATATATTTTCGCCCATCATTATCTCCAATGCCTTTTTCGCCTTCTCCACATACTCATAGTCCACAAAGAAGGCCTTGGCCTCAGAATGCTTTAGAATGGTTGCAATGTTCTTCGCGTCGAGCCTCGTGTTGACGGTGTTCAACACAGCCCCCGCCATTGGCACCGCAAAATGCATCTCGTACATTGCCGGAACATTTGGGGCCAACACCGAAACCTGTGCATATCGGATCAAAGACGAGATTAGTTTAGTTTTTCGATCAATGACATTATATATTAAGGTAGATTCTATGGTACCCATAAGGTACCATACCTTTGTCCACATGGACCAATGAGAATGTAGCAGTTGATCTATTTAAATCTAAATTAAAAAGGATAAAGTGGTGTGGTCTAATCAAATGAATGATAGATACGAAAATAATTTCATTATAGCATACTATGTATTTGCCTATACATAATATGAAGTACTACGTATTTATAAAATTAAAATTTGGTACTTACGACGTTGTTCTTGACAATGTTGAGAGCCCGTAGGGAGGCGGCGAGGCGGCGACATCGGTCATAGGTCTGGCTCCACGTGAAGTGGAAGCCAGCATAGATGACGGAGTTGTGGTCGGCATAACACTTTGATGCCCTTCTCAAGAAATTGATGGGAGTAAGGGAAACATAATTTGCTTCACATTTGGCCAATTTATCCATTTTGCAGCTGGTTATTTTGGAAACTTAGACGTTACTATAATACTGTAAAATATGCGGAGTATATCTTTTAGTGTTGGATCGGAGGTACTGTGCGATTAATCTCTAGATTTGTTCCAAAGATGAATGGATTTGATAATTAGTTGAAAAGCAACTGAAAGAGGAGCTGTTTATTTATAGGTGCATATGAATAAGCTTCTTGTTTTTTTGCATCAGGTGGAAATGTGTGGGAACTGGGAACCTGCCGTGAATGTGTGGTATGTATTCAAATTTTCCATGTTTTAACAAGCTAGATAGACTTTCCTTCCCAAGTTTCAATTGAATCTAGTTTTGATTTGGTTTTGTCTGGCCTAATATGTTTAAGGTGATAACTCCGGTACCTTTTAAAAAAATGGGGTACTGTACCTACCATTCATTTGATTGGACCACACCATTTTATCATTTTTAATTTAGATTTAAATAATTCAACTGCTACATTCTCATTGGTACATGTGAACAAAGATATGGTACTTTATGTGTACCATAGAATCTACCTATGTTTAATTATGGTCTAATTTAATTTGGTTTAGTCAGGTCTGATATGGTAGACAACGATTTTATGTGTATAGTACAATTATGGAAGTCTGATTTGATCTCGTCTCATCTTATCTAGTTTGAACTCGTTTGATCTTGTCAATTACTTAAATTTGTTCTAATTTTGGACATAAATTAATCCAATTTAAAAAAAGAAATGATTTTCTAATTGATTGATACGCAATACAAGAGTGTTAATAATTCAATAGACATTCATGAAATTCAATGGGTAATTTCTATACCTAATTTTGAAAGGGTAGATGTCCAAATGATTATTAAAATGTTTTTACTCGAATTGTTTTTAGTCTTAGACTAGATTAGATCAAACCATATTTGAGTAGACCGATCAAAACTTCCATAGCTATAAAATATATAGGGGTGAACATGTCGGTTTTCTGTTCGGTTTGGAACGGATTGGAAGAATCATTATAAAAAAATCATAGTAGCTACTTGGATGCATAGTAGCTATATATAGTACTACGTAATATTTTTTCGCATGAGTTATATTTCAGTAATATTTAAAAAAAAACTCCACTTCTAATTAAAACAGCGCATAAAAACTATAGTGCCAAACATACAACTAAGGGCTTATATAGTTTTTTAAAATACTTCACATAATAATTCAATCAATCATCATTTACTCCAGTGCCGCAAATGTTCCCACCTATGATGGGGTAAGCGGGATAAATAACATAATAATTCAATCAATCCTATTAAAGCTTTTCCCAAAAAATGTTACTAGTATAAGAGAAGAAATACTTCCAATATCTTCGTTTTTAAAAATTCTTTTAAAACGTTTTGTTATAAATGTTGTTGTCACCATTCAATTAATGTCTGCTTCAACTTAATTCAAATCTATGATTTTTTTAGTAGAAAAGATTGTTCATTTATTTGAACTAGTTATGATCAACCTCATCATTTGGCAGATGATTATCAATAATAATTATTAATTATTGTAGTTGTACTCTATATAATGTTTATAGCTGGATTTATCTCGCTTCAATATAACAATCAATAATACATTATCCTACATTTCGTATATTTTAAATTAAAACATTTCGTTTTTTTATACCTTTATTTTGATATGACTCAATAAGTTCTGTATTTTTATGTCACTAATGTTCTTGTAAATATTTTGTTTATATTTATTGCCTTTATTCTAATTCTTTTGATTAATTTATTTATAGATTACAACTATTAATGAGAATTGAGATTAATTAATTCTTGATTGTTTCTAATTATGGAGCAATTAAATGTTTTATTAGGACAATAAATTTCTACTTCTTTTATTTCTAAACTAAATGGATATAAAATTGAATCACCACCACATTGTCTTTGCATATAACAGTATTGTTAATCTTTTTAGCACATATCCAGGGATGGATTTAGGGGGGGGGCGCGGGGGGGGCGACCGCCCCCCTTGGACATTCAATTTTTTTTTTACCATATATGTAATATTTTCATAAAACTTTCATAATTTAATTAGATTCGCCCCCTAGCTTTTAATTTTCAAAATTAGTATATAGTCTTACATAATGTAATACTTAATTGGAGATTTGAAAGAATAAACATTTAAAACAATTTACATAACTTAAACAAATAAACAATAGAGTAACTCGTTATTTAAGATTTAGGATACTTATTATATAAGAATTCCTAGTTTTGTAATGTTTAATTATCTTTATTAGATAACAAGTACTGGATTTTGTAAAACATATATCAAACAATATTAAATACCAGACACACTAATTACACAATTTTTATATCACGTGAAATGAATCCAAAATATAAATATTTATAGACATTAGATTACATAATTCATTTACTTCTTGGTTTCTGAAAATAATTTATTGCATGGATAATAAACTTTAAATTATTATAGAATTAATAAAAATATTAAAATATAATATGCGCCATATATATGTGTGTGTGTATGTGGTGCACATTATTCTAAAAATAACAATCTCATACATACTAGTATAGTACTATTGTAATATTAAGAAAACTTCTCATGAGTCATGACTCATGAACACCCTCCTTGGTGGACAAAAATTACAATTCAATAACCGATTTATGAGGTTAAACCATGTAGAAGTTATTAAAAATGTATTGGTTGATGTCTTTGTCATCGTCTAAACTTAAAATGTATTAGATTTAAATGCCGTTCGCGGATGTGCATGTATTAATGTCATTTTTTGAATAAAAATAGCCGCATAGCCCCACAGTAGCGAAAAAATTTCGCCCCGCTACACTAGGGGAAAAATATTCACCCCGCTACACTAACGAAAAAAAATTCACCCCCTACACTAACGAAAAATTTCGCCCCCCTTGACTCAGAATCCTGGATCCGTCCCTGCACATATCTGTCTTGTTCTTAAAAGCATTTAGACTTAACACAGCCTCATTAACTTATACCAAACAATTTGTAACTGGAGTGGGCATGCGTATCTGATTTCAAAAAGAAATAAAAATAACAACATATTTTGGAGTACGGCCACCAATACCATGAAGTGAGCAAACCCATGCCATGAACTAACTTATATGGCAATGGATAGTTGAATGGTACACTTTCCAGCCAAGAAGAAGATGATTTGTGGACGGTATTTTCTTAGGCACACGAGTACTGTTTAGATATTATTATGTTTCATCATAATAATGAATGAATATTTCCTAATTTCTATGTGTGGCTACGTATTATTTGGAGTTCGGAATGGGTTCAATCAGATTTTTGTTGGATGATATTTATATGTAAACATGTTGACAAGGCTTTAAATACTCATCCAATGATCTTTCAACCATGTTCAAAAAATGAACATGAAAAAGCATCAAAGTACAACTACCTCCCTCATATATATATGACGTGTTTTAAAGAATTAAAATCAACATAGACTCGATCGATCACAACCAAGGCCGGACATCATTTGTGTTATTGTGTGATGTTAAAATTTAAATTTAAATAAATTTAGTTTGCGGGTATGAATGATCATTGGGCTATAATAATTGTATAAATAGCCGCTCATAGTTTTTTTTAGGATGAATCCGTACTCGACTAGGCGGGGCTCCGTGATTTTTAGTAGGTAATTATTCGCCGCCGGTCCAACTGAAGGGGTGCACGCTTGTACTGAGTTGTTGACACAATGTACACGTGACGGCCCACGTCACCTTTTTTCATCCACTTCTTTTTATTTATCTTTTACTTACTTACTTACTTACTTACTTACTTACTTACTTACTTACTTACTTACTTACTTACTTACTTACTTACTTACTTACTTACTTACTTACTTACTTACTTACTTACTTACTTACTTACTTACTTACTTACTTACTTACTTACTTACTTACTTACTTACTTACTTACTTACTTACTTACTTACTTACTTACTTACTTACTTACTTACTTACTTACTTACTTACTTACTTACTTACTTACTTACTTACTTACTTACTTACTTACTTACTTACTTACTTACTTACTTACTTACTTACTTACTTACTTACTTACTTACTTACTTACTTACTTACTTTACTTACTTACTTACTTACTTACTTACTTCTTCTTTCTTTCTTCTTCTTTCTTTCTTTCTTTCTTTCTTTCTTCTTCTTTCTTTCTTTCTCTTTCTTTCTTTCTTTCTTTCTTTCTTTCTTTCTTCTTTCTTTCTTTCTTTCTTTCTTTCTTTCTTTCTTTCTTTCTTTCTTTCTTTCTTTCTTTCTTCTTTCTTTCTTTCTTTCTTTCTTTCTTTCTTTCCTTTCTTTCTCTTTCTTTCTTTCTTTCTTTCTTCTTTCTTTCTTTCTTCTTCTTTCTTTCTTTCTTCCTTCCTTCCTTCTTTCCTTCCTTCCTTCCTTCCTTCCTTCCTTCCTTCCTTCCTTCCTTCCTTCCTTCCTTCCTTCCTTCCTTCCTTCCTTCCTTCCTTCCTTCCTTCCTTCCTTCCTTCCTTCCTTCCTTCCTTCCTTCCTTCCTTCCTTCCTTCCTTCCTTCCTTCCTTCCTTCCTTCCTTCCTTCCTTCCTTCCTTCCTTCCTTCCTTCCTTCCTTCCTTCCTTCCTTCCTTCCTTCCTTCCTTCCTTCCTTCCTTCCTTCCTTCCTTCCTTTCTTTCTTTCTTTCTTTCCCTCTTTTGGGCTTGTTTTTGCTTATCTTTTTTTCTCTTTAATTTCTTTATTTCCTCATTCCCGCATTCTTTTTCTTTGGAGACCAGTGATAAGTCCGTATTTCGACACGCATTTGATGCGTGTTGAGATCCTAGCATAAAGGTGTCATAATTCTCATTTTTAGCTCAAATCATATTTTATCGGGCATTGGTTCGTGTTTGATATTTTTGGAGTCAAAATCAGGGAATTAAGTCCGACACCGGCATTT